TATGTACGTTTCTCTCTTTCAGGTTTTTTTGCTTACTTAGAATCAAAATTAATTTCAATACGAATAAACTTCTGTTTGAAAGCGGAGATGATTTCATATTCTGATACGAAGAAGGTTATTCGATTTTTTTTCATGACTAATCATGAAAAAAAAAGAACAATTCCAAAGGGAATTTTATCTTCAACAAGCTTCTTTGTAGTTTTCCAGTGCTGGAATCTAAATCAAACGATTTGGAATCGTACGAAGAACTTTGACTGCATTTTGAGATCGTTGACCAAACTCTTAGAATCAAACCTTTCATCTATTAGATGTTTCCTGTTTAAAAGAGAAAAAAATGGGAACTCGATCGAAGGAGCTATACCTCCTCGTGAAAATAATCAATCGATCTCGTGTCAACTTTGACAATTATTATGAAAACAAAGTCCTATGTCCAAGATCCTAGTTTTGATCACAACGAACACTCAAGAAGATGTCTTCAACACTCAATGAGAAGTTTGAATTAGACTAGAGAAACTTGTTCATTTCTAATTTACCTGTGATGACAGATCAGCATAATCTACTGTGTTCGAGTCTTGAACTGTGACCGATTTAACACCAGCTAGAATGATATTTTTCGCTATTTCGACACCTAGACCACGCATGCCCGAAATGAGTACATGCGAACGAGACATTTGATACATAGCTTCTTTACCGATGACGTATCTGTTAGACAAGAATGAATGAAGTTCAATTTCAAAACATAAGAATAAAAAAATAACGATAATTTGAAAATTACATCTGTCGAGAATAGAGAGCTTCATCGATTTCTATGGGTTTATCATCGTCATCATCAACAGTATCTTCCATCTTGTTTCCTTTTTTTTAATATGTAAATTGTTGAATGATTCCTATATCACTGTTCTGAAATAGAAGCAGAAAAAAATACAACAAATACAAAAACATTTTTTTTTCTCATTTGCACACGATTCAGAAGCAACTTTTACGGCCACCTATTTATATAGTATTTCATACGCATTCGACTTGCTCGATGTTGGTGTAAGAATGATCACAAAACGAAGGAAGAACATGCATGAATGTGCCTGTTTCAAGGCTTTATTCATTCATCTCCAGTCAATGCATCGTTCGTTATTCAAAAGTATGCCAATGTGTGAAGAGAAAGAAGAACGCAAAGAGTAAAGCAAGCAAATAGACATCCAACATGATGAATGAATCATAATGGTAAACAAATAGAATGTCAAGGTAGTTGTTGTTATTTTTCTATTCGTCTATTTATGGCTTAAAAATGAAATTGATGCAATAGCGTATCCAAGATATTCCTAGTACATCAATTTTAAGAGTTGGGCATTGATGGACAACGCGAAAAAATACTAGGGCACGATGTTTTACCGAGAAACGAAAGGTTGTCCTCCATTTTCATGAACAGAACGAATGTAGAAGCAAATGTTTCATCTAGATTTTCGCCAAACCAGACAGAGTATAGCGATATGGTACAGATGAAGGAGGAAGGGTTAATAGATTTTCGCATCGGAGCCTTTGTTATGCTAATTCGTAGCCTAAACGGCAGGAGAATCTTATCATTTTCCATCCGTTTTCATAAAAAAAAATCATTGAACTTCGAAAAGCTTCATAAATGAGTACAACACTCGACTCGAATCAGTGTTTCTCAAAACGAAATATTACTGCAGGCTTCTAGAAAAAATGTGACTTTTTCTTACAGGGCTTTCAAAAATATAATGTCTTCGCATCTAATTAAGAAAAGTTCCTCAATAATTTATCCATCGAAGGTGGCCTCGCTAATGAAGAATGATAAAATACTAAGCTCTTCCGAAAGTAAAAGATATTTTTAAATAAATTGAAATGTTCCAGGTTGACTACACTGATGCAGCTATTACACTTTTGTAAACAAAAATGTTTGGATCCTTATTTATATTGTTCTCGTAACACACGCTTAGTTTTGGATATTGGGAAACGAGAAATCAGTCTTATCGAGCATATATTAGTATATTCTACAGCCCAGAAACATATCAACGACAACTCCATGTTATTGAAATAGATATGGGTGGGGGTGTGAGTGTAGAGAAGACTAACACCCAGGTCCACGCTCTCACCCACACGCACACCACACTCCACTCCACCCACCCTCCCACACCCACACCCACACCCTCTTGAGACCGAGCCATTAACATCTCATTTTGTGAAAGCGAAATCATAGTCAACAATGTACTCTATATTTGAATAGGATCTAAAGAATGAAAAATTCGAGTTCCTAATCATGATTTTCAATTTGAGTTTAGATCATTTTCTGAAGTTTGAATGAAATAAATGACAACTAAAATCATTAGTCAAAAATGAAGAAACGATAATTTGTTTTACAATGTATGCTATAAACATTTCATAAAAGAAAGAAGTGTTTTCGAATGAAATCGAAACGGCACGATTAAATCATCAAATACCCACAGCGGTTTCAATAAATGCTTGAATGCCACGGTTAATATTTTTGAACATTTCTCGTGATTATTTTTGACTTGTCATCAGTTTTTCCTGTCGGTTTAGATTTTTCGCATTATATAGAAATATTTCCCATTAATTTAACACGTTCTACTTCATCTGTACAATACATTTTCAGACTAAAGCTTTTCTTGAAAAGCAAAATCATCTGAAATTCATTGAAGTATGAAAAAATTTCTTCGACAATATATCGTCGATTGACTTCATATGTTTTGGTTTAAAAAAATTTTAAAATATGTGCTATAATTTGATTAAAATCTGAGTTCAACGAAGACCATAGAATGAATAATTGAATTTCTGAGAAAATTTTTAAAAAACGAATAAGCCGAGGTTTCATTAAGAGACTGATTCAAGTTTTTAGAATCCATTGAAATGTTGATATTATTTCAATATTGTTAATGAATGATTTTCCTGTTCAATGAATAAACAACATTTTATCGAAACTAATATTTTGCATGTTCTACTTCGAGACTTTATTCTATTCGATATTATCTATGCTGATTTTTCTTTCGTTTTATTTTCCATTTTTGTTATGAATTTTTAACATTGTTCATCCAAAAAAATCGAAACTTCTATTACTTTTATTTACTTCTATACTAAAATCAAATTACTCGAAGACAAAAACATCAACAGATTATTCTAAATATTTTTAGTAATTCAAGTAAAAAATCTTTCGTAGCTCTTTAAGCCAAAGTTCTCTTTATTCAATTTTGAATATCTTAAATTAACATTCAATTTCGAATGTAAACATGATTGTATTCATTACTCTACCTTTGAGAAAGATTTAACACTTTTAATATTATCATTTTCACCGATCTATGTCAGAATCAGGATTTTGTTTCATTTCCTACCATCGCATATACAAGAAAGAAAAAAAAAGCTCGTTTTTATGTCTAATTAAAATCCTCTTGAATAAATTGTCGCTGATCTCTAATCTTGAGGTATGTTGACGGTGTCATCTATATAAACATTGTCTCATATTTCGAAGTACTTCTGCTTCATTGTTTTTGACAAATTAGACACTGATAAAATATTAAAGAAAAATTTCGATCTATGAATAAAGGCATGTCTTTGAATAAATTTAAGAAGAAAAAGTGATCTGCAAAAGTCTCGTTTAGTTTTCACTTCAATTTTTTCATCATATTTATCTATTGATAAGTATTCTAATATACGACACGAATGAAATACATTTTTAATTAATTTGTAAGTCGTATTTGCATGTTCAATTTTTCATACAGACCCTCAAACTACTGAATCTTTATGGAAATCAAGTTGGTGATAATGGGGCACAAAGTCTTGCGGATGCACTAAAGCATAATAAAGTAAGCTATTTTTTCGGCCGATATATTTCAGTAGATATTCAGTTTGCCACAAAAAAAATCACATTGAACTATTGATCATCAACGATCGAGTCAGAGTCTATCATAGAAAGATTTTTAGTCGAAGCTGACAGAATCTCATTCTGTGAGCGTTCGAAATCGGTGAGAGTTTCCTAATTGTTAAAACAAGGTCATAATTATGCAAAATATGCGTTCATCACTAACTATTTTCTAGTACATAGAGGCAACTAAGGAAATGAGAAAAACGTTGTTTAACCATTATGAGACTCAATCGTATAAGCAGTGTGATATTTTCCAAAAAATGCGTTCAAATAAATGACCGCATATCTTTGTTTAATACGATTGCATCGTTCTAATTAATGATGTATAAATCTCTGTGATCGTTTACATGCGGTTTTTGGGGCATCTCAAATTGTTTTAAGAGCATAAATGAAAGTAGATATTGATATGGATCTTCTATTTGTCTGCATTCTACCATTACGTCGAGTTTTCCTTAACAGACTAAGTCAAGTTTATCAAAGAACTCCCTTCTAATTATTGGAAAAGAGCATCTAGTATCTTAGTATGTATTGAAATCCCTCTCTAATACCATGTCTAAAATTACTGCTCATTTTCCAGCACAAACTAAAATATCTCGTATGAGCAATCGACTCTACTTTATCACATACTGGATGTTCCAAAAGTCTGCTGAAAAAGTAAATTCGTATAATTCCTTTATTTGGCAAAATTAATTAACTATTTTATTTTTAATATGATAGGCATCACCACGAAGTTTTTCTTGATACGGATAAACTTCACAAACAATGTTGAAAGATATCATTTTTGACTGAAATACAGAAAATACGTTTTTTCAAACTTTACTAAACAAACTGCTTTTTTTTGTTTTCTTGATCATTTCAATTTTTGTAATATTGTGAGAGTTTTTACTTTTTTAGTGTCGTTTTATAGTTATTGTTTTAGATATCCTCATAAAAAGAGATCAAGTATTGAAGTTCGCTGATATATCACAAAAAAACGTTAATAAAACGGCACTAAAAAAGTAAAAACTCTCAGAACATCACAAACATTGAAATGACCAAGAAACAAAAGCAGTTTTTTTTAGTAAAATTTGAAAAAACGTATTTTCTGTATTTCAGCCAAGAGTGATATCTTTCAACATTGTTTGTGAAGTTTATCCGTATCAAGAAAAACTTCGCGGTGATACCTATCATACTAAAAATAAAATAGTTAATTAATTTTGACAAATAAAAGAATTATACGAATTTACTTTTTCGGCGAACTTTTGGAACATCCTGTACGTTCCAGATTTTGTGGGTACAAAATTAATTTTAAATGAAAAACTTTCTTTTAATTCAATTTCACCGTCTGGTCCAATACTTGTTGATGAACTTATAAATGATGTAAGTGATGAAGGTAATACGCGAAATATATCATTATCTAATGTAACATTATAACGCAAATCAAGTTGCCAATAAAGTTTTTTACTATTATTAATTAAGACTATTCCTTAACAACCACAATAAGCACTTTATTTCATAGCATTAAACCGTGTTGAATACATTTGAAAACGTAATTCTTTTATTGATAATTATAAACAATCAGATAATGCTGTTGCACGTATATGTCGCTATATAGGTGGATGTGATGGTTGTAATACTTGTTGTTCATTGGCACTTAATTCACGTTGAGGACATAAAGCTGATTGTGATTTTGATGCTTGTGATAAATCTTCAACATTGATTAATGGTAGATATGTACGAAGTGGAAGAAGAAAATCCTAGGAAGCAATCTTAAAGAAAAAAAATACTTGTAAAGAAATATGAAGGAGAAAGAAACAAACTTCAACTGAAATAAGAATAAGTTCGGCTTCGATTGATTCATTTGGTTGAACAGTAATACTATAAACTTGACCATTTTTGGTACAACATTGTTCATTGCCTATAGATTGGAAGCCTAGACAATTTACATAGAATATAGTTTAAATGTACCAATAGATGAATATGTTTCAATACTGAAATCTGCATAATTTTGAAAGATTTATTTCAACAATGTCTTTGACACTGTCCCGTGAGAAAAAGAAAACAGAAAATTTTAGGATTCAATACTTGTATCTATCTTTGAGATAATTTAAACTTCTGAATAAAAGACTTTTTGATTATCTTGGTCAGAACAAATAAAGTAATTAACCTTGACCCAAGTGGATGCACGATCAGCTTGCTGTCATATATATTAAACATCATAGAAATTTCTATTACTATCATACACCTCTTGTCATGTAGGTATGTGTGCATTCGACTAATAAATATAACATATAGCTTCTTATGAAATACTTGAATTATTTTGTCAAGAAAAGGATAATGAATTCTAGTGAAGGATTTATATAGTAGAGATCAAACAAATATGCATCTAGACTTGTTTCGATACATGAATGACTGCTGCAAACATTTCGATTAAGTGTTAAAGCATATCAAAATCAATTCATTTGAATGATTATAAATTATCTTTTCAAATCAAATTTGCTTAGTATATATTATAGCTTGAAATTAATATAAAACAACTGAATATTCTTTTCTCTTAAACTTTATTTATCACTCATTCAATCAAAATGGAGACTAAGCTATTGCCCAATTGTCATCCCATCCGCTACCATCACATGGACGGCAATTGCAGGTACCACATCCACGGTGATCGCGATAGCTACCACAAGGGCATGGCATAAAGCACAGCATTGGAATACAGAATGGATTTGGTGATAAAAAGTTGTCTGGCAATGAAATGGCACGACGTTGTTCTTCGACAGATGCAGCAGGATTGGCCGAAACCAAAAGAGTACCACAGAGAAGAACAGAAATAAGGATGGCAATGATTTGATTAAGCATGGTAAAAATAGTTTCTTGTAGATTTTCAAGAACGACTCGTTATTTTGAGGGATTTAGGATCAGTATTTATAAGAATTGATAAACATAACACATCGATTCAGCTGACAATTTTCTCAAGCCCCAACACCTCTATGTATGTTATTGATACTATAATAGAAAGAAAAAAATATCGTAAGTGGTAAACTGATATCATTCTGTTTGACTTTGTCCTTCGCCTTCATTTTTAAACTTTGATTTAATCATAAGAACCCTAGAAAAAACCTAGATAAAGTCGCAAACGCTTTAGTATTCAGGCAATTTTCTAACTATAACAAAATTCTAGCTTGGAGTATTACAGCATGAATGATATTAAATATCAAGGATGTTTTATAAGTTCTGAGCATCGATAAAAACTAGTTTATATATAGACAAGAAATGATCCCTAATTATATATAATCATATGAGCTTCAAGTAGACCGTTCGATATTATAGGCACATCTTACTGATTAAGACCATCTCTCTTAAAAATAGCAATATAAATTTATATAACTTAGTTTTCATCAAGGTTCAGAACTTATGAAACACCCTTTATTTACTATAAAAAAAAACTCGCACACACCCAGAAAAAATAACAATATCTTATTATTAATTAGTGTTGATTTATAAATATCTCGAACAGATGACAGAAACTTCATTATTCTTATCTATCACTTGTTCGATCTGCACTCTTACGCGGACAAATATTTATTTTTCCGACGCATATATGATCCCAACAGTGATTCAAACCTACCATCACTTGACAAACTCCTCTACTAACGTGTTAACACATAATCATTTGAAATAGCAACAGATAAATATTCGCCATTTTTTTCTAGAATTGTTTATCATTTCCATTCATGCAACCAACACGTATATTTACTATCTTATTACTTCTTCCTCTTTGTTTTAATTATTATTCTATCGGATTCAACATAGTTGAACATGAATAACAATGATGTAGAGTTAAATAAAGATAATCATGCTTTATCTAAACGAAGTGTATGTCATCATAAACATCATTATAATCCAAGATATTCACGTCAATATGTTCCATGTAAATTTAATCTTATTCGTTGTTGTTTACCAAATGTTTGCGTTAAACGACGTTTTCGAACAGATAAATGTCTTCGTATGAAAGCATAAATATTCTTATTTTTTGTTCTCAAATAAAAACAAATATGTTTGCTATGCATGATAAATTCAATTAGAAAAAAAAAGCTGTTAGCCCAATCCCTGTGCGATTAATGTGAAACACGATTGAGCTGATTTGTTACGTTGTAAATGAGAAAATACTATAGTGTCTGTCACGTCTATGAGAGGAGGGAGTATGCAGCTTCCTACCCCTATATACTTCAACACTCCTTTTAGATCGTGTTTCACAAAAAGTACATACAGCAACCATTAAAGTTTCAATGGATCTGACTGTTTGTAAATGTTTATTGTGATCATTCAATTTATTATCTATTGAGTCAATATTATTTAGTGATGCTTGAACAGTTGTGTGGACAACCTCGTTTGAAGGTGTGGATGTAACTATTATGTTGAGGCCCCTTCGACACCCACACCCATCACAAATCGTGACAGACGTGCTCCATAGGCGTCACAGACCATCACAGGCGGGCTGCATAGGAAACATATACCGTGACAGACGAGCTTCAGAGGATCACAGCGTGATAGGTGGTCTCTAGAGACAATCACGAACCATGGTAGACTTTATTAGAATAAGATTAACGACCATATATCAGTAAGATCTCATTGGAATAGATGAACCAAGGCCTCGCTGCGGTTCTAGAGGTCTGATTAAAGAGTTGTAAACTAATATATCACAAAATATATCGAACGAAACAGTTTCTAGATGATTAGTGGCAACAGCTATGTCGTCTTTTACATTTTAATCTCATAGGGATTGCTTTAACAGCTTTTTACATGTATAAAGAGATATCTAAATCGGTAGTAGATGTCTTTTCCAAGCTGAATAGTGGAAAATGTTTAGCAACCTAATGAAATTCAAAGAATTCGTACATTGTCTTTGCTTTCTAGATACTTTACGCTCAGTAAACAATAGAAAAGATGTATCATACAATCTTCCTATCGAAGTAGCACTAACGTAAATAAATTGGAGAAGCAATTCCACAAAGAATTCTAGCTAACAAAATCTTTTATTAGACGATCTTTATTTGATTCAAACACATTGATTCAACATTAAAATTTTATTTATACGGTGTATAATTGATAGAATAGCTTGTTATCTTCATAGACTGATATGTATACAATGATGTACACACGAAAATAAAGATTCAAAGTTATATTAAATATTCCCATATCGGTGCTTCGGCTGTCTGCATAGGAACACATATGTGGCGAGTAGAACAAAATTCGTATTTTCCACAATCTGCCCGTCGATTGCATTTCTTGTTTTGCTTAAACTAAAACATATCATAACATAAAAGTATTAATGTTAAGATCGGAGCTTTATTCTTCGTAATGCTATCGGGTGTGGATGTGCTTCTTATTAGAAATGACACTTACATCTATCCACACACCCTCAAGATCACTATGTAGTATATCTGGCTTTGGCTCTCAGCATTTATATATATATTATCCTTTCTCCTCTGAATAAACAAGACTATACGATTGTGAAGTTTCCGTTACTCATTATGAATCGCTCATACCTGATAATATGGAGGCATCATTGTGTATTTTCCGTCTACAAATAAAATGAAAAAAAAAATAAATTGTACAAATGCCATTATTACATATCTCTTCTACCTGTTGTTAAGAGGTAGTGTGAATGACTTTTTTTAGAAAAAAAAGCTCAATTTGCAAAGTAACTAAAAACAGTGTACTCTTATTTTTCTCTTGATAATTTATATTGATTCTTTTAAAAGTCCCATAGGCTTATCGCCTGCCGGTGCCGGCCGCTAAGAAGATCCGCATCTAGTAGAGCTCTCGTCTTTTTTTAATGGCCGACGGTATCTGCACCACTTTTCGTCTAACATTTTTCCCTCTGATGATTTTTTGGGTTGTGTGTGGATATGAATGCAGAGAAGATTAGCAGCCACATCCACACCCGTTTTTCAATCCTACGAAAGAATTCACCAGAGAGCAATCTGTTCTCCGCATTTTGCAGCGGAATTCTTTTGGAAAAATTGTGATTTGTCTGATATATTTCTATTACCTTGGCGGCGTCCACCATAAGTATTTCGGGTTGAGCTTCCACCATTACCGACACTTGATTTGAGCAAGCACCTGTGTGTCTTCGAATTCCATGAAAAGGCATTACATTTATCATTCTTAGAACATTCATCACAACAATCTGCATAAGTGGTTTGTATTGTTACTTTGCCAAGATCATTTCCACGGTAATCCCAATTCTGTTCCATGATGAAGGTGGCACACATCTCATGCGGTACAATGGCAATTCCGCACATAACAAGTATAAAAATGAGTTGTTTCATAGATATGTTTGACTATGATAGGTCCCTAAAAACAGTAAAGGCAATTGAAGAATAAAATTAGCTGCAGAGAGAAAGTGTAAATATAAGTTATTTTTCGATTTAATAAATTTTCGTAAATGTAAATTGACCACCCTAGTCTATTATCAGTTTTATCTTATAAATGATTTATTTCAGAATTGATACGAGGCTAACATGATCGACGCAAAATATTGTGCAGGCATTACTTACATAGAAACAAAAACATAAGTATTAAAAAAACGAAAAATAAACTGCTGAAATTATTTTTAAAAAATCGACCATGGAACTAGATCTTCTAACCTCTAACTTTCTTGTTTTAGCCCAGGAAAACTGTTTGATTATTTTTGGAAAAAAGGACTTCTGTTATAGGGAAGATCTCTAATTTGTCGAGAGCTTTATGTCGTATACTCTGTTTAGAATAACTCCTGATTCTCATTGAAATAATGTTTTTTTAGGTCAAAATTGAAATTAGAAAATCGCCATATATATCTATAAATGCTTTCTTTAAGGAGTCATCTCGGCATTAGCATTCTCTCGCGGACAAAAAAAACGGCCTTTTTCCATTTCACTTTTGCATCGCTTTACACTTTGTTTTAAAAAAACAAAATATACCATAAGATGCAGCGTGAAAAGAACTACGACCTACAAAGTAAAGCTTATTTTATTTGTGTGCTTTTTGCTTTCGAAAAAAAGCAAAATCCTGTGCGCCCAATTTTCGACGCTGCGAGAATATCATTTTTTCTTATCTTATCTTACCTCATCTTATCTCATCTTTTTATCACATAATGTGCTTTCCTGAAAAAAAGACAAAATATACCAGAAGATACAGCGTGAAAAACTCTACAATCTACAAAGTGAAGCTTAATTTAATTGTGCACTTTTTTCTTTCAAGAAAAAGCAAAATCCTGTGCTATCAATTTTCGACGCTGCGAAAAAATCTTTTTTTCTATGCGACGAGAAATTCCTTTTTTCTTATTTCATCTTTTTATCAACTAGTATGTTTGTGTGAAAAAAAAACAAAATATATCAGAAGATGCAGCGTGAAAAATTCTACAATCTACAAAGTAAAACTTATTTAAATTATGTACTTTTCATTTTTAAAAACAGCAAAATTCTGTGAGACCAATGTCTGACGCTGCGAAAAAAAATCATTTTTCTACACGAACGAGAAATTCTTTTTGTTCGTATTTGAATAAATTGTTCTATGTAAATTATAGAGCTTTTCACGCTGCATCTTCTGGTATATTTTGTTTTTTTTTCAGAAAAGCACATTAGGTGATAAAACGATGAAATAAAGAAAAAGGAATTTCTCCTTGGCATAAAAAAAAATGATATTGTCGCAGCGTCGAAAATTGGGCGCACAGGATTTTGCTTTTTTTCGAAAGCAAAAAGCACACAAATAAAATAAGCTTTACTTTGTAGGTTGTAGTTCTTTTCACGCTACATCTTATGGTATATTTTGTTTTTTTAAAACAAAGTGTAAAGCGATGCAAAAGTGAAATGAAAAAAGGCCGTTTTTTTGTCCGCGAGAGATTATCAATTTGCCGTCGAAGCAACTATCAGAGTTTACGACAAAAGCCTAGAAAAGCATCTTGAAAAAGTGCATACACTGAAAAAAAGCTGTTAGCGCAATCTCTTACGGGATTAAAAATGTGAAACACGATATACCCAGTTTAAATGGTGAAGGATAAGTTTTTTTGTCGAAGTATTGACATTATATTCAGTTGTGTAAAATTTTAGATATTATTTATGAAATTCTGCGCAATAAACTAAAAAAATGCTGTTCAGAATTAGTCTGTAGACAGTGTATAGAATTAATATAAGCACTTTAATCAATTTTTAATTTTCCGAAAAGTGTCGATGAATTTTTCTTAAGAAAAAAAAACACAAGAAAAATGTAAGTTTTGATTTGGTGAGTTTTAGTGTTTTTCTCTAAGGATACTACTGTTAATTTGATTGAACAGTGATATGTAATGGTTCGATAATAAAGCGAACAGGAATCTTCGTGTATTTGAATTCGATACAAATTAGTGCGGTAATACCATTGATTTAAAACTTATATAAAGCGGCGTAAAACATATGAAACTGTTGACTGGTCTGTGATGTTTTTAGATGATCATGTAGCTAAATATTTATGTATGAAAGAAAATGTAGCAATCAATCTATATGAATCATCAAATTCAGCGAAAGTGTCGAAAGAATTCTTGAAACATCATAAATATCTAGATCGAAAAATGCTGGAATTTGAAAATAGAAAAAGCTATGACTTATTTCTTAAAGTGTTAGGAACTTAGAAATGCTTAGTTGTATTCATGTTTGAGAAAATTTATTTAGTTATTCTAGATATTGTTTAATGCAATAGTATGTATATGTATAGTTTTTGGATTAAAATTAATTAAAACGTTCATCGAAGATAAGGCTAATAATACATCTTCATCTTCTAGCAAATCGTTTTGACAAAGTTGTTCATGATTAGATTGTTGCAATGAAGCTTGAAATGTTGATCTTTCAATAATGAATTCAAACATATTATGATTAATATCGGTTACATTAAGTTCTATTTGATTTTGTTGAGTTGAGTCTTGTAAATACAATGATCTTGATTTACATGTGATACATTTAATAGTCTTGCCTTGCCATTCAACATCAGTTGAATAGCACTTTGGACAAAGACAAGGCTGCTCTATTAATCCTATTGAAGTTATAGGACCTGATATTGATGAATCTTGTACGATGTTAAAAAAATCACAAGAGACAACATCATCAATGTTATCGATGGACTCAAATCTAAAAAAATATTTTTACAGAGTTTTTTAAAAGTATATGTCAAGAGATATTTATCAATTTGGAAGCTGTTTATAAATAAAGAAAAACGAAGGCGAATAATAGAGAAGCTCACGTTGTGTGTGTTGTTGTTGTTACAGATATTTCATCATTAAATATTTTCACTTTTGCTAATTTAATTAAGAAAGATTGATCCTTTTCTATAAATGTAAAATTGTTCTCCCAAAGATTTAATTTGATACAATCAGTTTTATCAGCCACTAGTACAGTTTTCTTTTAAATTTTTGAATCCTTTTATGTACATTATTAAGGAATACAATTTTCTCCTCAAAAAGAAAATATTTGGTAAGAAAGTGTTTTTTTTGTTGAACACTTACTGAACCAATGTCTATAATTTTACATGAAAATGTTAGATATTCTCCATCTGACATAGATTGAATGTTTTTTATTGTCGTATGTTGAATACATAAAGGTTTAAATGATAGATTTATTGGTGTAGCTATCGTTCCTGATGTAACAACATACGCATTTTCACCATTAATTTTCAACTTATTTAACTTAACCCCAGATTGACTGCTATAGTGTTCAATGAGTTTTGTATGAAGCATGCATGTTCCTGTTGACGATAAATATTTTGTTATTCGATGGATTTTCTGATCTTTGTCGCACAACAAAGCAGTCCAAAATTTGTCTTTGCTGTCAAGTTCTAAATTGAAAATATCACTGACCAGAACAATGATACCTTCCAATACTGAGCTAGCTTGCATATTCAAAATATTCTCGCTTTTAACAATATTAATTGTTCGTTGCATTCTGTAGTATTTTTATAATGTGCAAAATTCAAAAGAAGAACAGTCAAATGAAG